TTCCATTCGCAGTCCACACTGGCAATGCACACCCATCCTGGTGCATCAGTAGCAGGCCTAGCATAAATTCACACTCAAGATGGCGCAGTAGACTCCAAGGAGAAGATTCGATTCACTCTCCACCAGGGCACAGTAGGTGCCAGGGAGAGGGGTCGATTCGCGCTCTACCGTGCACAGTGTGTCCTCAGGGTGAGCTTCCAGTTTGCTTTCCACACTCTGCAATAGACGCCCAGGCAGAATGATCGGTTCACCCTGTGCCCGGTGCCTGAGACCAGCCTGCCGACGCACATCCCATCGTGTCCAGCAGACTCCAGGTGGAGCCTGAAGTCCTCTGGGGCGTTACGCGATCGGCATGTTTTCCTCATGCCCGTGCTGCTGTGCATAACCACGCTGCTTCCACACACCCTGCCCCACAGTGGCAGGAGGCTCCCAGCCCTCCTCCACAAGTTTAAGCAGCAGTAAGCAAATCTATGCGGTCACAATTAAAACCTTCGCAGGATGCAGTTATCTGCTTGTGATTAAAGGAGTAAGATAACAGAAGCAGTCCCTTCTCCATGGGGTTGCTGCAGCAATCGAGCGCATAGCCTTGCCCGGTGGGTGTGTCAGTGTTAGCCCTCCTGAAGCGCTTCTGCGTGTTACTGCTGCCCACCAGACCCCACTCTGGCCCCTGCTGTCCTCTCTGTCCTGGGCTGGTCACTCCTGTCACCTCATCTACATCAGTTAGCAATTCCTGCTCAAATTTTTTCTCTTGGGCTCTTTATGTCTTGTGCTTTGTCTTTCTCCCTGTTTCTTCCTCTGCTCCCAGCACACTGTGTAGTCTGTGCCTCTTGCCCCATAATTTTTCATAGTGGGCTCTTGGTATTGCAGTTCTGTGGCAGACAGAAATACATAGATGGGCATTTGGAGACCAGCTCTAACACACAGCTGCAAACTGAGGTGTGCATAATTGCTTAACTCAGTTAGGTGCGGGTTTAATGCAGAAGTGCAGCTCATATGACCATGAAAAGTTGCTTGTGCACATGTTTTGAAGGAAGTCTGTCCCAGGTGTACTTATTTAGAAGAATCTGACATCACAGCGACAGAATGGGGGCTCTGCTCGCGTGGCTGACCTGAGTCGTGACAGGCACGTGTTGAGACAGCTTCTGCTCAGTGCAAGGACAGCACCGCACTGATTAATGCTGAACGTCAGTGAGACGGGGCATTTCTGGGCAAAATGATTGTTTTCAGGCAAAATGATTTCTTATAACTTAAGAATATAGAAATATCTACTCTATTATTTCCATGTTAATCAGGGCATTTTTACTAAATAAAATTGGTCTCTAGAAACAGTTACAAGTAACAGCAAAACTAATTTTGTAGAATATTGGAAAATCTTCCTGTTTTTTGTCTTTTTGAGACAGGGTCTTGCTATGCAGTTCAGGCTGGCCTTGAGCTCACTTTGTAGCCCAGGCTGGTCTGAAACTCACAGCAATCCTCCTGCCTCAGCCTCTCGAGTGCTGGGATTACAGGCGTGTGCTAGAACACTTGGCTGAAAGAGTGCAGTTTTTTTTTTTTTTTTTTTTGGTACCAGGAATCGAACTCATGACCTTGCACTTGCCAGGCAGGTGCTTGTGCTGCTGAGCTACATCCTCGGCCCAATCTTCCTTTAATTAAGTTTCTAAATTATTGAATTCATATTAAATACTGTGAAAAAGTGTCATTTTATTATACTCTATTTTAGCCAAATAAAAATAGGTATCTGAAGGCGGTAATACTGGCAAAACAATGGACATACAGGCCAATGAAGTAGAGCAGAGGGCCCAGAAATAGACCCCCAGAATACACCTGCTTGCTCTTTGACAGAGGAACAGAGGGGACAGTGGAGAAGGGACAGTTGTTCCAACAGATGGTTCTGCAGCAATCGGACGCCCACAAAGAAAGGTGAGTCTGGATCCAGACCTTACACCCTGAGTGAAAACTAACTCAAAGTGAGGCGCAGGGTCACATGTAAACCACAAGTACATAAGTACATAAATAAATATCTGAGAAGATACTACAGAAAATGTAGATGATCTAGAGTCCGGCACCAACCATAAAAGAAAATATTGTTATGTGCTTTACATTAAAATTAATAACTTCTGCCCTGTGAAGCCACTACGAAGAAATATGATAACAGACTCCACACGGAGAAAATATCTGCAGAAGCACAGCTGATACAGGACTGTACCCTAAAGTGTACAAACAGTTCTTGAAATTCATGGATAAGAAAATGAGCAACTGATTAAGACTGTGGAAAAGGGCTGGGGATTTAGCTCAGCCGCACAGCACCTGCCTGGCAAGCGTGAGGTCGTGAGTTCAATTCCCGGTACCGGAAAAAACAAAACAAAAACAAAAAAAAGATTGTGGAAAAGACTTTAAAAGACAGCTCATTCATCTCACCAAAGAAGATGTAGACTGCAGACCAAGGTAAGGAAAGATGCTGCACACCCTAGGTCATCTGGGAAACGCCTATTAAAATAGCGAGACAGCACCGCACATCTACTGGAAGGGCCACAGCCCAGGCCCTGTCAACCCCAATGCTGCGGAGGGGCAGGAGGGAGCTCGCCCAGGCTGCTGGGCACACAGAGGGCACAGCTGCTTTGCAGGAGGTTGGTGGCCCTTACAAAACTGAAATTACTCTCACTATGGATCCACCAATCACACCCTGTGGTATTCATGCAAATGAATTAAAAACCAATATCTGCACAAAAACCCACACACAGACGTTTATAGCAGAATTATTCATAGATGCCAAAACTTGGAGGCAACTAAGAGGTCCCTGAGTAGGTGAGAGGTAAATAAACTCTGGTATTTCGGTCAATGGAATACTCCTTGGAAGTAAAGAGGCAGGGCCATCCAGCCACGCAAACACCCAGAGGAAAGGCAAATGCGTGTAATGAGGGGAAGTCAACTGGAAAAGGCACGCGCTGTGTGGTGACAAATCCGTGCCATTCTGGCAGAGGCAAAGCGCAGAGACAGAAGGAGGTCTGTGGTCACAGGGGCCGATGGGGAGGTGGGAGGGGCAGGTGGAGCACAGGAGGTTTTTACAGCAGGGCAGCAACCTGCACGGTGCTGAAGAGGCAGGCGGAGGTCTTTCCGCACTTGGCCACACAAGAGGATAGGGTGCTGACAGCGGAGCCCAAAGCAAACCGTGCACCTTGGGTGATGGCAACCTGTCCATGCAGGTGCCCTGGTTATGGCAAGAACACCTCTCCGGAGTGGGGTGCTGGTAGGGGGAGGCCGAGCACGTCGGGGCTGCGGAGGGCAGGGCAGGTGTCTGTGACGTTGCTCAGTTTTGCTGTGAGTCTAACATGACTTTGAAAAATAAAGTCTATCAAATAAACAAAATGAGGTGCAAATGAAAGTCACCTTTCAGTAGTTTCTCGGTCATATACGAATTTAAAGTGGGGCTCCTTTTAGAGTCAGTGTACTTGGCATGCTAAGCTTGGCACCAGAAGAACTTCACACAGAGCTGAGTCAACCAGAAGCATGGTCTGCACCCCAGCCAGGGTGGCTCAGAGTCACTGAGGGTCAGAGCTGGACTTTGGTGTTGTTTCTAAAGCTCTGGAGGATGTTCATGCATTAACAGTGTAGACAAGTAGTGGTCTAGTGAAAGGGGTACAGGACCTAAAGCCAGAGACAACAGAGCCCGACTGCACCCCGCACAGGCGGAGGTTCCCCCTCGTTTGGGTGGTCATCAGCTTCATACTGTTTCAGGGTTTATGAAGTTGGTAGATGAGCTCACTGGCTCATCCAGGAGCTCAGGGACATTTCAAACCAGCAGATGAGGCCCCTGAGGACCTCCAGGCTGCACACAGGACACTACCACCAACATGACATTGCTCACAGCCCTCTATGGCAACTCACACTCCAGTGCGACAGCCCCCAGGGCAAGGTATTGCTTTCAGAGAATGCTTTTAAGGATTGAAATAAAAATTAAGATAAACTGAAGCAATGTATCTTATTAGCATAGCTTCTTACAGTATTATTTTATTGTTATAAAATGATACCTTACTTCATAAAAGTAACCAGAAACATTAATGCTCTTTAAATATTGCATAATGACTCACAAAAATGTAATAAACTGATACAAAAGGAAAAAACTGGAGGGAAGCAAATCTTTTCCATAAATATTTATAGATTCATATCCAAAGAGTTTAAAATTTTTTAATGTGACCAAAATGCACAAATAAAGACAAGACAATTTTATAATTAAAGAGCATCCAGATCTTTGTAGCTAACATTAGAGCAGCAATATCATTGTATATATAGAAATGTTAGATAGATAATTTTCAATTTGGGGATTTAGGAAGGACAGATTATTTCCAAATTAAGTCTTTTTTCAAAACATATCTTGAGGAGCTTGCTATGGACATTTTGTGCTTGTGCATGAGTGCATGAGCGTGTATGTATGTGTGTTTTCTCTCTTTGGCCTGTGATAAACTTAACTATTTTTTAAGACTAAAGCTTTACATCAGACCAGGCTTTTGGCCCTTGTAAGAATATTACCATACACTATAAATAGTTTCCTAAAAGCCCAACCTCACTTCACGGTCATGTCTGTGCTTTTCTGAGCACCCCCAAGTTCTGCAAAGTAGGTGATATTCACAAAAACCAAGCATTGCCTTTGATTTGGACAGCTCGAAACCACATGGGGATGAAAGGCATGTTGGCATGTCATGCGGAGTGCCTTTGCTGGCTTCGTGCCTCAGTGTCCCCAGATGGCATCCCTGCACCATGAACATGGACACACAGACATGCTGGATACACCACACGGGACCAGTAGTAGGCATCTGGCTGACTCCAGGGAGCATAGCTCATTCTCGGGGGCTGGAGCACCCTATAGGGAATACACTGGCTACTGTGACACGGTAGACCATGTGTTCATAACGTGGTAGGGGACCTCTGTTGGAACCTGAAGCCCTCTGCATTCAGTTCCCAACTAAATCTACAAAGATGAGCAAATATTCTCCAACACTTACGTTTGCAAGCAGGAGGCTTCCCTCTGTTACTCCACAAGCCATCCTCCCGACATACCGCGCTTGCTTGTTGACTGGCTTCTAGCTTGAAGCCCTCGTTACATTCATATGTCACTTTACTGTCCAGAGTGAACTCATTGCCTGTGAATGAACCATTTCCCGGGGACTCTGGGATGCCACAGGACACAGCTGAAAAGAAACAAGAGGGATGCAGGCTTATTCCTGTAGGACTTCATTCATTTTGTTTCCCTTTTCATCTCATAAACCTATAAAAGTTCTGAATTATGCTTCCAAGGTGTGGCATTAACTTTACACACTTTCAGACTTTTGAGGATGCAGTGGAAATTGGTTAGAATAATGAAAAGTGGGTCAGAACAAAATATCTGTGTAGTGATTCTGCAAGCCAGAGCTTCCAGGACACGCTTGTGGTTCAACCCCCGTGGGACACTTTCTGGCAGATCTGTGTTCAAGGGAGCCGGGCACCATGCTGGCTGCCTTTAACACCAGAGAGAAAGGAAAGGGCCGCGACACCAACTTCACTGTCAGTAAGTGCATCGCCACACAGGCTTCTTGGCAACAACGTCCTTGGAGTCAGCAGGAAAGGGAACACTGAGCCTCTCAGTCTCAGAATCGGCTCCTCTTGTGTCTGCCCCGCGCCCGTCCCTGACTCAGTGGCCCTAAACAAAAAGTAGTGAATTATCTAAAATAAGCTCTGGGTCGGGTGTGATCTGTCTTGGGCTCGTGTGTTGGGAATGTGGACCTCAGGGCGGCTGTGTTAAGAGATTCAGGGACCTTGAGGAGGTGGAGCCAGCGGGAGGTCACCGAAGAGTCTGACCAGGGAAGGGATGAATCAGTTCTCATGGGACTCTGGTCAGTTCTTGAGAGAGGATTAAAAGAACTAACGGGCCGCCACGTTCCCTGGCTGCCCATCTCCACGTGATCACTTCCTGTCAAAGATATTCCCGACATGGTGCCATCTGTGAGGATGACACGGCCAGGAGGTCCTCACCGTGTCCAACACTATGCAGCTGGGACTTCTGGCTCCCAAATTGTGAGCTAAATGAAACTCCTTTCTTAGCAAAGTGGGCCTGCCTCAGGTGTGGCCTTATGGAATCAGGAAATGAACTAATACAAAAGGCAAAAAAGTTGTCTAAGACCATCAGTGCCTTTATATCATCAACTTTAGTATTTCTGTCAGAAAATAAGATGGGGAAGGAGTCAGGAAAAAGACCTTCAGCAGAAGGCACAGCCATGCCAGACATATAGATCTACTTTTACTAGAAGACCACACAAGAAAGCAGAAAAATCAAGAGGAACTTTCCTTTAAAAAAATAAGTAAAATGTAGGGAGAATTCATTAAAGCTACTGTCTTGAATTTACTAACTCTGATGCAAACCTATCTACTAGGAGGAAGGAGGGAAAGAAGGAGGTAGAGAGAAAGACAGACAGAGAGAGAGAGAGAGAGAGAGAGAGAGAGAGAGAGAGAAAGAACGTGCCCTTAAGTTAAGTGACTTCGAGTTTGGGGTGAAACTGAGAGGGAGGGTGCAGGGTGCCACTCTCAGGAGTCCCATCCCAACACAAATGCACTTGATCCAGAAAGGATTTGAGATTAATAAATTAAGGGCTTCCCCTTTATATTCAATACTAAAGATAGTGCTCAGACCATAGACTTCAGTTTGGATAATCTGAAAATTCCCCCAGGCAGATTCCAAAGACACCTTATGTCTGAAATGTTAGAGCTAGGAGAAAACCACGCAGTGCAGGGTTTCCGTAAACCTGCAGTTTTACAGCTGAAGAACTGAGCATCAGAAGCGATGAGTGGGCCGGTGCAGCCCAATGCCTTCACACACAGCCTGCAGTGAGAGAGAGGCTGGGGCCTAGCTGGCTGTTTGGCTCGGCATGGTCTCAGGGCAACTGTGAGTTTGTTTAAGACTTTACTGTCATATTTTTGTTCTTTTTTTTCTTTGTTAAAATAGTAAATAAATACAATGGGAAAACACCAGTGAAGTAAAAAGACATGTGCTAATAATAATCAAATTTCTAGAAAATCCAAGATATAAAATTTCTCTTGGGTTTAAATGTATCATCAGCTATTTCAACCATCTGAAATCTGTGTGCACATGTGTGTGTGTATGTGTGTGCATGCACATGTGTGTGTAATACCATATTAAATGATTTGCAACACATTGAAACAAAGCTGCAGGTATATGGACATCATTCAGGGCAAAGTATTTGAAATGATGAATAATAATCTCTGGTTTTCTACAGCCAGGATTCTGTCTAGGGAATGTATCAATAGAGAGGCTGCTAAACATTTGCAAAATATTGATCTTATTTTACTGGATGCAGTAAATGGCCTACATCAGGTACTTTTGGATCCTGTCTGTATTTCACAGTGTTGTCCTATCAAGATCCCTTCCACGTTCTCTTAGATTTCTCTGGACAATCATTGGTTCAGCCCCACAGGCTTTAATTTCTCTGCTGATGCCAAAGTGTGTGCAGTGCCCAGCTCCCTCGCAATTCTTATCTGAGGTGAGCAAGAGTGAAATGACATTTCTCCTGCAGGTTAAGTGGGAAAGATGCCATTCTACGGACACATACAAAGCCTTCCTTGAAAGGACTCCCACCCAGGAGGCCAACACAGATGTGCTTTCTTCTGCTAAATCTGGAAGCTTTCAAATAAAAGTGAACTCTGACTCTGAGGGCTCAGGAGGACCCACGGTATGTCAGCTGACAGCCTGTGTCTGGTTCTGAGCGACGACTACCTGCTCCCAGGGTGTCTTACGAGAGCTACTTGGTGAGCTGACAGTGGTGAGTCAGTCCATCGAAAAGGGCATTATAACACTGCTGAAGAAAGTGAAGGAAAGATGGCGAAATCTGGGCACATGGATAAAGTCTAGATTCCACTCATCTGTGTACTCAGTCACTCATCAGATGTACAATGAGCGGTCTGCAGACACAGTGTAGGCGTCGCATAAGTGACAAATTATTATATCCATTTCTGTGTATCTATCTATGTACACACTGGCACACACACTCACACACTCATTTCATACTCATGTCTTTTGTGAATAAAGATATGAATCACTAGGACCAACTCTGTGTAACCTACTTATTAAAGAGCACAAACATTAAGTTAGTAGAAAGATGACATTTCTTTTATAAATCTCATTTGAGATTTAATACTGTTTCAAAATTATAAATGGGGAGACATTCCAATATGCAATGCTTTATGCTGCTTAAGTGTTATGAATCCTATGAGAGATTTCTCCTTTGCAAACGTAAAGCCATTCAAGTGATGGTCTCCCTTGCCTCTGAAGGTGTGTGTGTGTGTACACATGTGTATGTGGGGTGTGTGTGTGCATCTGTGAGTATTGAATCCAGGCTCTCTCACATGTGAGGCACATGCTCCACCCCCAAGCTCTACCCAGCATCCTCTGGAGGTTTATACCCAGCATCCTCTGGAGGTTTATACCCAGCATTCCCTGGAGATTTATACCCAGCATCCTCTGGAGGTTTAAAGGTACTTCCTGGATGCTCTTCCCTTCCTCACATGGTCCTTCTCCATAACTGAGCAGAGCTCCTTTGCTTTTTCTTCCCTCCTTTGTCCCCTTCAGAGAGCTCAGCGATTCTTGGAGCTTTGCTGGTTGGCTTTAAGCTTGTGGTTCGCAAACCCGGAGATCCACACTACCCACTCCTGTTATCTGCTGTCCCCTGAGATTCCACTTGAGCACAGCCCACATCACAGAATTAGATTCATGCAAGGCCCAGCTTGCTGCCTGCCCTCAGCCCTCAGCCCTGCAGCCCCACTGCCTCTGTGAAGCATCCTTGAGAAAGGGGTTGGTACTTCCTTGCCTGCTCTTTGGCCTCTCCTTTCTTTGCTGCTTGCCCGACATCGTCTGCATCTGAGGTGGTGCTTTCTACCCTCTGCCTGCTTCTCCTCTCTTGCCACAAGCACCCTAGTCAGGAGTCTCCTCTCCAGATGGACGCCATGTCCTTCCTGCCTGGCGAGACCACCCAGTGGGAAGCACAGGGCAGAGTGTTCCTAGGAAGGCTCCTGAGGCCAAGCAGGGACAGGAACTTGTTTAAAAACGGGTCTGAGTTGGATCCTCAGGTGCCATGGTCCTAGCCCAAGGTGGCCATCACATGCATGGGAGTGCAGCCCACAACAGAGGCCCAGGACAGCTCAGTCAGGGTGCTGAGAGCAGGGGTGGTCACTGCAAAGAAGGGGGACGGTGAGACCGGGACACAGTGCTCAGGGACACAGTAGAAGACCACTGTGAGTCATGTGCACCTTCTGGCCCGGGGGCAATGCACAGCCAAGTCACAAGGCAGCCAGTTTGAGACATTGGAGTCTACAGATTCGTGAGGGTTTCAGAATGTACAGTTTAAGAATGTAAGAATTTTTGATCAACTAAAATATATGCATGCATGCCAACTTTTAATATATACATATACCAAAATCATAACATGAGGACATCCTAGGTTACTATCCTTAACCTGGACCTGCTATGGAGTGCCAGCGCCTGCCTCTGCTTTGTGTCCATGGTTCCCTTGGGTCTGAGTGATCACAGTCGATTGTTACAGTGCAGTGAGAAAAACATCAGAGCAGATCGCTCAGAAATGGAGCCTTGCTTCAAGGGGAGAGCAAGGGGCCCCGTGGCAGGCCCTGGGTGCAGCAACTCCCTCACCGCCCCAACACTCCAGGAGGAGCAGTCAGAGGGGTCGGGTCAGAGCACAGACAGGCGTTCTCTGAGAAACTTGTGATTCTGCAAGTGGTAACTGAGTTCCAGAAAAGCATCAGCATCCGATTAGTTAAGGTATTTTCCAACTTGAATTTGGTGGGTTCGGGATGGATTTTAGTTGTACATACATAATATGGTGCTTGTACACACCAAATAACCAAAATAAAAAGATAAAAGCAGGTTCGCAAAAATGCCTCTGAAACACTGATGTAATGGAAACATAGATTAGATGTACATATGTGTGTTTCTATGTTTATGTAACCCATACATGTATATATGTGTTGGTGTAGACAGATATGTATACACACATACACATATGTAACTACTTAGATACCCCACTGTACTTGTGGTTTTAAAGTTTACACCGCAGTTTCATGTCACGTTGTTTCCTTATTTTCACTACAGCTCTGTTAAATAAGACTTTGTTTTACTTTCTTACAGATA